ATGAGGTGGATAGACCTAGAGTCTGTCATACAGAGTGAAGTCAGTCAGAAAGAGAAAGACAAATACTGTATGCTAACACATATATATGGAATTTAAGGGGAAAAAATGTCATTAAGAACCTAGGGGTTAGATAGGAAGAAAGACACAGACCTACTAGAGAATGGACTTGAGGATATGGGGAGGGGGAAGGGTAAGCTGTGACAAAGCGAGAGATAGGCATGGACATATATACACTACCAAACGTAAGGTAGATAGCTAGTGGGAAGCAGCTGCATAGCACTGGGAGATCAGCTCGGTGCTTTGTGTCCACCTAGAGGCGTGGGATAGGGAGGGTGGAAGGGAGTCGCAAGAGGGAAGAGATATGGGGATATATGTATATGTATAGCTGATTCACTTTGTTGTAAAGCAGAAACTAACACACCATTGTAAAGCAATTATACTCCAATACAAAAAAAGAAAAAGAAACCAACTCAAAAATTGCGAAGCAACATGGGAGCCAAACCAAACACGTGAGGGGGCTGCACGGGCCTCCTAGGGCAGGGACATCTTCAGAGTAATATTTTCTGGTTTGGACTTCGAATGACAATAGGATTTATTAAGCACTTCTATCAGTAGGTCATTGTACCCATAACAGAGTGCATGGGAGGAGCTTCTCTGCACGGTGATCAGACAGTGGAGGCGTTTCTCCAGGCGCCAGTGAGGCCAGCACATTACTTCCTCAGGATGTTCTGCTAATGCATTGAGGGCCCTCACTGGGTGATTAGGTAGCATCACGAATCTTGACTTCGGATTTAAGACAGAAGAGTATCTGGCCTGGGCCCATACACTTAAACCTTAGAAATTTTCTTTCGTAGGAAATCCCAGGATAACATCCATTTTCTGCTAAAATAAATTGGAGGAAAGATAGCAAAGGCTGAACTTGGGCAATCTCACTCACTGTTGCAGTCACATCCCCCCACACCTCTATATTTACCTAATCTCTTTTTTAATTTATTTTTTATTGAAGTATAGTTGAATTACAACACCATGTTAATTACTGCTGTACAGTAAAGTGACTCAGTTATACATATATCTACATTCTTTTTCATAGTCTTCCACTATGGTTTATCCCAGGTTACTGAATATAGTTCCCTGTGCTCTACAGTAGGACCTTGTTGTTTATCCATTTTATATATATACCAGTTTGCATCGGCTATTCCCAAACTCCCAATCCATCCCTCTCCCACACCCCTCCTCCTTGGCAACCACCAGTCTATTTTCTATGTCCCTGATTCTGCTTCTGTTTCATAGATAGGTTCATTTGTGTCATATTTTAGATTACACATACAAGTAATATCATATGGTATTTGTCTTTCTCTTTCTGACTTAATTCAACTTCCTGATAACTGCATAAACTTTGACTCAACCGAAGTCTGATTTTCCTCACAATTTCACTGACGAGGAAGATAAGATTCACATTTTAAGGCTGGTTTGAACAGAAAGCAAAATAAGATTTAAGACCATTTTATGTGGCTGAATTCTACATCTGCTGACAAAATATGCTAAGCCATTTAGAAAGAAAAATGTTGCAAGCTGTAGATTTACAAGAGATTAGGGCACAAGCCTATTACAATGTAGTTTTATCTTTTTTTAACCTAGGCTCTAAGAAATATTTAATCCATAACTTTACATATATAGTATTGAGGTGACCAAATCTTTTTGAAACATGTAAAATATTTATGACTTCAAATACTTTATATCATACCCTAACACATACTACTTTATCATGGTCAACAATTTATGCACCTAATTTTTTTTATCATTTTACTTAGTCTTTTTTTTAATTGAAGTATAGTTGATTTACAATATTGTGTTCATTTCTGTACGGCAAAGTGACTCAGTTATACACATATATACATTCTTTTCCATATTCTTTTCCATTATGGTTTATCACAGGATATTGACTATAGTTCCCTGCATGCACCTAATTTTTAAGACAACATTCAGTGTTATGGAGAGAAACCAAAAGATGACTAGTGTTAGACAAACAATCCAAAAATGAGGCAAAAGGCACTAACATTTTTTTATTTGGCAATCCACTTAGCAGCAACACTAAGAAAATCTCTGACTTCCTTCTATTATCGAAACTTCTACCTCACCTATCACTTCTTTTTTTATTACAATATTGAAGAACAGAATAAACTGCAAAGTGTATTTTATTTTAACCAAAAAGCCAAAACTATAGAAATCAGTTTTAAACAAAGTTTAATTTTAGGCACAAAATACAAATAATTTTTTTTTGAAAAAAATACCTTTAAAAATATTTTAATGTAAACTGGGGAAAACTAGTGTAGACCAGGGTCTATTTTTCCATCTGTTTAAACAATGAAGTAAACTGTTTAAACTGATGACATTTAAAAATATAAGCAAAACACATGACGTTATAAAAGATAAGTATTACAGCATTCTCAAAAATGAGTCTTTATAAAATGAAAATTAGGACAATGTCTTCTGGCATGTGATAATCTTTGGAACAAGCACATGGGATATAACATACTCAGGATGCCAAGAACTTTAATTAAACCTCAACTTCTGTAAAGCTAATAACATGAGTATTTTTTAAAGGCTGGGATATGTGAACTACAATACCAGCAGTTTAAAATAGAAGGATAGGAAATAAAGGGAAATGATATTACATTATTACAAATGTACTTATTAACTTCTATGGCAGATTTTATTTTTAGGTTAAAACACTTATAGTTATTTCTTTCAATTAATGCTTATATGCATGAATTGGAATTACCCTACATTAAAAGTTTCTGAAGTAACTGAAATTAGCTATAAAAAATACACCTAAGTGTAAACACATGAGAGAATTATTTCCCTCCTGTGAAAGATGTCCAGGAGTGTTCCAGCAGGTAATATATGATATTAGAGCTAAAAACTGCAAACTTGAAATAAAACTAAAAGACTTAAATAGTACCTATATCCTATTTTGAGTCCGATTGTTTAATGATATTTAAATTTAAACTTTTAGTTACTTTTTCATGTATGGAGTGCAAGATTTCTATACTTTTTTTTTCTTTTTTTTAGTTTCCTCAATATTAACTGAAAATGGAGAAAGGGTATTTAACATAAAAATAGAGGATAAATCCTCAGATTTCCCCCAAATGTCTTAATGTCCTACAGCCATGGGCACGGTTCCATAGCAAACAGTGGGATACCATTTTTGAAGGAATGATTACTGCCCCTTTGAATCCTGTGCTTCTTGCAAGGTAAGAAACTATGACTAAGGTGTTCAACATGGCATTATAGTGAAAAGTCTTTCTAGTTCTATTTTTCCTTAAACGGGCTCTAGTTCTTGTAATTCACATGACACCCTTTGGCTGTGGTTGTCTGTTAAATTTCCTGTTTTGGTCTAGTTTCAGCAAACCAGGCTATGGTAACTACCTATTTTTTTTTCCTTTTGGTATTTCCAGTTAAGTGTTTTCTCTTTAGAGGTACAAAGAAAGGGAGGAAAACAGCCACACCAAGGTGTGTAAGTAGGTCACAGAAGTTTCAGTGCACCGAAAAACGTGCCGTCTCCATCCCGGGATATTTTAGCATCTTCGCGTGGTATTGCCAGTTGGAGTTCATCTCCTTCCTCCAGCTTTGCTATGCCTGGAAAAGAATGATTTGCAAGAACTTTAAGCAGTTGTACACGGAAAGGAGGGGGAGGGGAGAACATTAAAGACAACTACTTTGTTTTGGAAAAAAATAGTAGGCATTCACCCTTCAAATTACACCAGTGGACTTCTAAACCAGTTATGATTTGCCTAAACACCCCCCCCCCAAAAAAAGTAAAAGAAATAAGCAGAAGGAGTTATAACAGACATAAATGGATGTATCACCTACTGTTCGTAAAATGGAGAATCTAAACAGGACTCAGACATCTAACTATAAGAAAAAAGTTTAGGAATTCATAGCACGTCCCTTGATGGAATGTTATATAGTTAAAAGTAGTTTTTGGACTTCCCTGGTGGCTCAGTGGTTGAGAGTCCGCCTGCCGATGCAGGGGACACGGGTTCGTGCCCTGGTCCGGGAAGATCCCACATGCCGCGGAGCGGCTGGGCCCGTGAGCCATGGCCGCTGAGCCTGCGCGTCCGGAGCCTGTGCTCCGCAACGGGAGAGGCCCAAAAAAGAGAGAGCCCCGCTTTCCAAAAAAAAAAAAAAAAAAAAAAAAAATTGGTTTTGCTTCATTTTATTGACATGGGAATCTTTAAAAAATAATGTTAAATAAAAATACAAAAAAATGAGCACACCCACGTATATATACTGCATAGCCCTAAATATACTTTCAAATGTGCATATAAAATGCATAAATTATTTAAAAGTGAAAAACAAAACACTACTTATTCACAAAGCACATCTGCTAACATAGTCTTTCTCTAGAGTACAAACTACGGGATGAGAAGTCATTTGGAATACTTTTATAGCCCTCTATAATTTGTGTTTCCATACTTGTTTTTATAATCAAAAGCAACAAGGTAATTACCTTCTCAAAACTGATCAACTAATCTTCATTCATGCGCCTAATTTACAATAATGCAGCCTGTGATTCAGGAATACAAAACACAACTCAGGAACTACACTCAGTATACTATCAGGTCATTCTTGACATCATTTTAAAAGAAAAAGATAAAGAAAAAGAAAGAGGAGGAGGGGCAGAGAATAAAACCAACGAAATAACAAAGGAAATAGCATCTAAATTGTCAATACATTCAACTCACAATTTTAAAAGTAGTTGCATTGTTTCATTAACATGCCATGAAAATGTATTTACAGGAACACATCTACTTTAACCTCTATTCCACTGTCAAGCCAAAGCACCTGGGTGTCCTGCAGCACTAGCCAGTGGGTATTTATTTACGGAGCACCTCAGATATACCAGACACCTTCGTAGGCCCTCATAGGGCGGTGATCAGAATAACCAAAGAGTCTGTCTACAAGGACCTTGTTTTTTTGTTAATAGACCAAGACAGACAACAAACAAAAGAACATAGTTCTAGGTATTGTTAAGGGTAAAGTGTACACTTTTAGGATTGGCAAGGCATTTGATGACTACATTAAGTAGGAGGAAAAAAAAAAAGACTGAAGTTATTTGTTGAATGGATTAGTCATTATCATAGAGATTGAAGATAATCTAATAATTTGACAAAGGCTATAGATCACAGATCATTAATTAGCAGTAACTCTCCAAATAAGGTCTGTGTGAACCAACTACGTTTCAAAGTAGGTTCTATTTAAAATTGCAACACTGGGTTATTGGCTAGTTCAAGTCTTCCAGATTATAGCAATCAGCTCTAACTTTTTCTACAATAAACACATTCAATTTGTTAATGAAATAATAAGATTCAGCTTCGTTGGGCTCCTCAAATGGACCATTTTAATTTTTTCCAGATTATTATGGAAGCACTTTATACACGTATACACCAATGTGTAGCTTTTAATGGTTTTAAACAAATTCGTTCTAGACAGATAAAGACTGAAAACCTGAAATTTCCTAGAAAACACTTTTCGTAAATAATACTAAGCTACTAGCACTGAGAAATATCTTTAAGGTCAAATTAATTACTCTTAAAAAGTAAGGCACCTAGGAAATCTGGCTGAGAAAGTAACCATGAGGGGCTAATGATTAGAAAATTTGAAAAAGAGTGTGTTGTAAAGCTCTAAGTACTAATTAATGTAAATACATATAACAGACTGAAGTGACCTCACCATTTATAAATATTTTGCAACACTTTGCAACACCAAAATACTGGTTACCACTGGCTGCAGGGAAACATTTCTCTATGAAAATTAGGGAATTCCAATTTCATTAACTTCCTCATCACCCTGTCAAAGCTATTTATGGCTGTGGATCCAGGATGACAATTGTCTCCATTATTGGGAACTATTTTGCCTTCTCACTTGTTTCATCGTGCCTTTGTCAGTAAACGCCTTTGGAATATAGCGCTTCAAATCGCACAGCCCAGCTGCACCCCGTGTTCCACACTGCCATTCACGCTGTCTGGAAGGGAAGACATTCCTCGGGGTCCTGAATGGATTTGTCAAAATCACCAGAGAGAAATAAACGTGTCGAAGGCAATTTTTTTTTTTTCAAATACTGGCCTCGATTAATTTGAAATTACCCCAAGACAAGATGAAGGCTACGATGGTAGTTACAGCCCAAACAGACCTGCAATGAAGCAAGCCTGCCCTTTCCCTTTTCTGAGTTGAAACGCAGCCTCACTCCTACACTTTCACATCCCAAACGCATCCACCTGGTGTCCACTGACACCAGCAAAGCCACTGGGCCACTGGACCTGACCCTCAAACCAGCCAAAGGCACTTCTTCCGCAGGAGGTGAAGAAGAGATTCTGTGAGTCCCACTGGGGTCAGACTGGCTGGTTTAAACTAAGTTCTGTGCAGCCTAAGACAATGTGTGCTTCCTCTCTGTGCCTCAGACCCCACCTCCCTTCGACAGGGACGATTAAAGGAAGGGGCACAGGTAAAGTGCCTGGCACGTGCTTATCATTCTCGTATTATTCCAGCATTGTTATTACAGGTTGAAGAAAACACCGCTTACGATCGTTCTAGTGTGGATTGCTGTGAAGTTACTGCCCTTTCTAAATGTATATAAAAATAATAAACCTATTAATAATGATTTTGCCTCTATCAACACAGACTGGCTTATCATTCAAGATAGTAAGTACCGCACAGTATATTGAGGAATGTCTTTCTGTCTATGTATATAGAACTATTATTTACCAGCTGAGTAACAGGAATTATTGGGTAGTGTTTCAGGCATATTTTGAATACATCGGAACAAAGTCACCAGACTCAATTCGTCCCCAAAGACATGGACTTTTTTCCTCTGTATTAGGTGTCCCATGGCAAAGGTGTTATCGGTGTATAAAACCTGAGAAACAAACCAAAGAACTTTGTCAGAAGTCAGCACAAAATGGGAGGCACTGGACAGTGACAGCGGTATTAGGGTGGAACCTACCTGACCGTATATAAAGAAGTAACCCGTTTCTTTGACCAATATTTTATTCTCTTTTTCTTCTAGCGCTCTTCCTCTTTTAAAGCTGAGAAGCCACGGAACAAATGTGTAAGCTCCTACAATGAAGAGAATCATTTAGAAGAAAAAAAAACTGAGAAAAGCATTTCTTCACCTCCACTTAGCTGCTAAACTAAGTCTGAAACCTAGAGGAGAATTTCATCTTTTAAAAAAAGGGGAAAAGAAGAGAAATCACAATCCTCCACTGGTTTCTCAGCCATATTTACATACTCACCCAGGCAACTGTCAGATACAGGAACTTGAAAGCAAACACTTCATATGTAATGTCTGGGGTTTTGATTTCTTCTGTATTTCAGAATATTTTCAAAATATAGGCTGGACTGGATGGGACAGTTTGAGGCCAAAAACATGGACAAACTGTCTCTGAATAACACACCAAGAGAAATTTTTGGTTTTCCTTTGATTCTGTCGGGGAGGAAGAGATTTTCCTCTACCCTTCTTGGTTCTTCTGGCTGGTCTAAGAATTAAACTGACATGAGACAGATCAACAGGAGAAAATCACACAAAAGTTTAATAATATGCATACATGGGAGAGTCCCAGGAAGACTGAGTAACCCCCCAAAGTGGGCAAAACAAATGTCTGCTGGGCCACCAGAGACAGTGGGACACAGAGTGGACTCTGGTCGCTAAGCCCTACCAGAGTCTCCCTCGCTACCCTCGGCCCATATTCTTTGCAGACGTCTCTCAGGATGGCTCTGTTCTAGGAACAAGTCCTCTATCCAAATTCTTTTAGGCACTTAAGGGGAGAGGTAACAAGAAAAACTTCCCGAGTCTTCTTAAAAATAATCGCTAATAATAATCAGCCTAAATTAATCCTCATGTCAAAGAGACACATTTTGGGGCAGCAAATTTTGCTCCCCTCCAGTTCCCAGAGAGGAGGGAGTTTGTATGTGGAGAGTTTAGCAAAGAATATGGAGAGGAAGCCACCCTCTCCCCAACATGGCAATAAGACAGAGCTTAAGGAGAGGGAGAGAAATTACTGAGATGCAACCTCTCCTAGGAAATGGTCCAGGAACGTTGTGACAACCATCCGTAATGTTCAAGTTGAAGTGGTTTCTGTTCAATACACCAATTCTCCTCCACTATCCCTCAAACATCACTTGGGGAGTGGCAGGAGAGCCACGGTTCTCAAGAGTTGGATAAAGGGGCGGAGAGAAGACAGAGGCCAAAGAAATGCATGGGCAAAAGGGGTGCAGATGGCTGAGCCGGAATGCCCACTGAAAGAGTAAACACTGCTTTCCGGTGAATTCACAAGCTGAGGTCACTGGAGCTCCCACCGTCATGTTATGCATATAGTGGAGTAAGCAGTGGACCCTGAGGCTAGGGGCTAGGAAATCTGGGGTATAAATAAAATGGCATAAAGTAAGGGAAAGAAGGTTAGGGAAATGGCAGTACAAGAAAAAAACAGTAAAATGAAACTGGGGTCATCTAAAATCATATAAAAAATGTTCCCATATAATTGGCAATGTTGGACCACATGTGTCCCCAAGCTTCACCTTGGTCATAACAAAAAGAGAAACAAAATCAATAATAAAATTCAGAAGTCTACAAGACGGTATGACAGAAGCTCAAGAAAAGAACAACCTGTCCTAGATTGAGAATAAAGGAAATGTTCCCCTGCGGATTTTCCTAAGGCGGCGCCCTAGGGTGCAATAGTTGACGATGCTTTCATGTTCATAAACACAATTTCTAAGTGGGCATGCCCGCTTCAATGGTGCCCCCAAGGCAAAACCATCCTACTTGAACTTTCCCCAAATAGGATTCTCAAGGGAAGAATACAAAAGAAGAACCACATATTTTCTGAATATTTCTGAGGAATTAAGAACCTGAGTGGTCAAACAAAGCCACTATACTGTGAATTCAAGTTACAATGAAACAATTCCTTAAGGCAGCCCTCCAGGATCACATGCCACAGACAGAGGGAGGGAGCTGAGAGGGAGGGGTGGGTGGAGAGAGGAGAGAGGAAGCAGCAGGAGGGGACCCCACAGATCTCCACTCCTCTCCTGTGCTCCCCTGAATGGCTCCATCTCTCAGGAGGAGTGAATGCTCCCCCCGACACACGAGGCAGGTCTGATTCCCCCAATCTGCTGTCCACAAAGACGGTCTCTGAGAAACCATTTCCTTAAATGAAAACTCTCCAGTGCCACACACTGGGTAATGACAGTCCATGAATAAAGATCTCCTCATTTACAAAAACAGAGGTAATCTCATCATCACCTGTTTTTATAAAATATTATTTCGGTGAAAAGATTATAATGACGTAGTTTTAAGTTCTGTTTAAATAAAGATCACGTGCCCAAAGCATTCTTTAAGGTAGAGTTCTGAAAACATGAGGGAACATTAATATCATGGTTGTTATTATTGTAAAATGTAAGCTGATGACCTGAACGTGATTGTTTTCATGGAAGTGATACTTATTTGGTACTCTGACCACAAAGGGCTTTCCTTCCCCTTCAAAACTATACACATCATAGACTCTAATTTCTCTGAGCTTGGGGATTGTTTCTGTTTGGTTCCCTGCTGTTTCCCCAGGGCCTAAAATGATACCTGGCCCACAGCAGATGCAGCAAAAATTTACTGAGTTAACTAATTCAACTTTAAACATAAAATAATTCAAAATGGTGGGGTGCTAGGCAATTAGTCACTAGCATTTGATTGTTTTTTAAAAGCATTGTATTACCTGGTTTCTGAAACTCTTGGAAATGAAACACCCTCCACTATAGAGGTAATATGAACTCTTGAAGTAAAACACGTATTTCTAAAACTGCTTGTTTATATTCTGACTAGAGATATTGAGTAAAAAAATTTTTTTGCCATACCTGAAATTGATCCTCTATTTCTTTACACAATACTTATATCTATAAAATTAGCCAGGTCTTACCAAATTCCACTGCTGTATTGTCATAATAGAAAGAAAAACAAGTAGTTATTAGGTTTATATTCTTATTTACTCTTTTGCTTTCGGCATTTCATCATACCTCGCTGGAAATATTCTTATTAAAGAGAGAGAGAGTATACATTTACTTGTCTTTATATACTGTCTATGTTTCTCCTCCCAACCCCAGCCTCACACATGCACGTGCGCGCGCACACACACACACACACACACACACACACACACACACGGATTACACTCCATTAGGCCAAGGCAATGACTATGCTGTAGTCACAGCTGGAAACTCAGACGCCAAGAATGGAGCCTAGCACACAGTATGCATTCAATCAATATGCACTGCTCCATGAATTTTTAATTTAAGAAAACAGACTGAACAATTAATTACAAGCTAAAGGAATTGTAAACTTAAGCATAAATGTTATAATATGTTTCTACATCTTAAAATTCACTTAGGTTTCTTTGCCTGCTAGTTAGGCCGCAGATAGATGCTAATAAGAAAATATGTACTAAATGACTCTTCTGTAGGACGCTTATCTAAGCTAGTGTGAATCACCCCTTATAGTATCTAGGAATTTGGAAAGGAAAAATTTCAATGACCACAGATTCTTACAGCTTCTCCTCATACACAGAAAAGCACTAAAGTCATTAAATTCAGAGTCTATTCTTTGTGATTAGCAGTAATCTTTTGATGTTCAACTAAACATTCTTTTCCAGAAAAAAAAAAAAAATTAGATGTATCCAGGTTCCTCCCTTGCCTTTTTGGAACCTTTCTCAGAGCTATCTGAGAGGCTGTCTCCCGGGCTATAGTCCTCAATAAGACACTGAATGAACTCCAACTCATAGATCTTATATTGTGTGTTTTTATTTCAGTCAGTGGAGGTAAATTCTAGGAGTATTAATGCTTAATTTTGCTAGTCAACAGCTAAAAATACTGATATATCTTGGTATATAAAGTGTGAACTTCCCAGCTCCACTCAGCTTTAAATACTTGATGTATTTAAATGTTTCGGAAAACTTAATAAATTACTGTGTACATTAATATGTGAAATTAAATAAAAATAATGCCAGTATTTAAATGTAAAAATAATTTACATGTATTTCTGAAAATGCCTGCTTTTGAAAGAGTAGACCTTTCCTGTACTGATATATATGAAAGACTTGTAGATAAATTTTAGGACAAGAAATTTTTATAGGAAAATCAGATCTATTTCATTAATATTTGTTTTCTATTCTATTTTATGAATAGGAAATTTCCTCCCACATATTTATACCTCCAGTGTTATTTCCCTCAGTAATTGAATATAGACGCTCCCGAGAGCAGCTGTCAATCACAGCTATCACATTTGCTTACTGTTCCTGATTTTCTATTTTATTATCTTAAAACTCCTGGAAATAGTTTTAAGGGAGAAGATACTAATAATATTTTTTGAAGATAGATTAAGTAAACCAATTTAAGAAATAGGGATTTTTTAAAAAGAAATAGGGATTTTTTTTTATTGAACAAATATAGTTTAGCAGTGAAATCCACGTAATCATATGCCTGATTCTGTAGATGAGGCAGGACTAGAAAAATCAAAAGGAACAGAAGCCAGACAGGCAGAGCCATGCAGGCTGAGCTACCAGAAGGGCAGTGAGAAGCCCTGTAGGGGCTGTGAGCAGTGGGGGAAAATGACTATATCTGTGTTTTAGAAACATCTCTATGTGGTTACCAGGTAAGAAATGCGCAAAACGGGAGGCCAGGAAACCAGCCAAGGTGAGAGACGATGGTGGTTTATACTAGGACGGTGAAATGAAAATGAAGAAAAACAGATTCGTTCAAATTATATATATGAGGAATCACCGATAAAGTTTTGAGATTAATGTACTGACTTCGAGGAAGCTGTCAAGAATGACACCCAGAATTCCAGACTGAACAGCTGAAGACATGGTCAGCACTTACTGAAATAGGAGACACTGGAAAAAGACCAGACTTGGGGAAAAGTTCTAAAGAGTTCATGCTGATATGCCACCAAGATACTCAGGAAAAGATGTTAAGTAGACAGAGGTATATATAGGCTTGGATCTCGGAAAAGTCATCTGGGCTAAAGATCTACATTTAAGCCATCACACGTGCATGTTAAGTGACAACACATGAGGATTTAG